CTGGTTTTGACAAACGCAAATCTGGTCACACTAACCTGTATTCACCTGAGTCATGTCTTTTAATCCGACAGAAATTGACCGCATCAGCGACACAAGAGCTGTAGTTTTTATCTTCGCTTAGTTTATGGAAATTAGCGATGCAGTTTTAAGTTTCGTTTCTGTGAGAGTTGCACAAAACTGAATTAAACACATTATAATAAACGGGTTGATGTGGCTCTAGAGTCGTTACGGTTTATTTGTCGTAAAGTTGAATTTATTTATGCAGATTAGTAGTGCAGATAGTAATAATAATGATGATCATTTTAATATAAAAACGTTAATGATTAATCGATAATTGATCGTTAATTCTCTCGACGATCGATTAAGAAAATTTCATCGAATGCCCATCCCTATATATATATATATATTTTTTTTTTTTCACTGAGATGTTATTGCTTTGTCTGTGTGATATTAAACCTTTCGATCTACATGGAGACCAAACTAATTAAGTTTAATACCATACTGCGAAACATTCCAGGCAAAGCAATAACATCTTCACAGAAAAAATAAAATAAAATGACAGACCCTCCACCAGAAAAGTTACACAATGCACCTTTAAATCTAACTCACATCCTGTACCACAATCTTAAAACCAATATAAATTAATACGTCTCCCTTTTCTGGTCTTGTTTACGTGTTCGCTGCGTCGTGGTCATGTGACGGAGCAGTTCACATCGTGGTCTCGCCTTATTGCCCTCTGCTAACTGTGTTTATGCATCGCAGGCTCCAGGGACCAATACTTTTCATTATAAAAGCAGAGCAGCCCTGTTTTCCCAATGGCCCGGCTGGCCCGTTTTAGACCTGACATTTACGCTGCTTTCAAGTGCAGCTCGGACAATTCATAATGTTAGTTTCCCTTTGAGGGGGAAAGATATGCAAACGTTTATGTTAGAAGGAGTGACTGATATACAGAATAAATAGTTCTGTTTTATTTTGGTTTAAAGGGACAGTTGGGAATTTTGGACATAGGACTTCAGTTTCTAGTGAGCCAGAGTGTTGAAGATGTGTGGAGACACTTTTAAAAAAAATATTCCATCCAGTCCTTGTATTTGCAGAGGTCGCTGGTGCATGTCAATGGTTCGTCCGCCACTAAAAACAGTCTTATCCACTCCACAAAACACCCGAAACAAATCTATTATTACACCAGACTGTCCATGTAAATGTCTGTGCTGATAGAATAATGTTTGAAATAAAAGTAACCTTGCATCGCATGAATCATCGCACGTTGAGGGACTATTTTCTCAACAGCAGCAGAATTTTACTTTGCCTGTAAGATCAAACATGTCAGACTCAGGCTCAGGGACCAAATTTGGCCTGCGACGTAATAATATTTGGCCCGCAAGATGATCTCAAATATGTATTAGAGCTGGCCCACCGGCTTCATACTGTTTATGGAGACATTATTTATTTAAAATGTTGTTATTATTTTATATTCTGCTTGTTCTAAATTCAATGTTTAAGCAAAAATATTATTACACATTTCATTTAATAAGAAAAGGTTTAACATTACATAGCTTGAAAGAAGAGAAAACAAGCAAATGTTGATGAAATTTTTCAATAAATTTCTAGTTTGGCTCACGACTTACTCCCAGTTTTTAATTTTGTCCCCTTGTGAATTTGAGTTTGACACCCCTGTGCTAGGAGATATCAGTCCACCTCTGCCAAGTTTTCTATCAGAAAGTACAACTCACTGCTGCTGCTCAGACATAAATCCTTCAAATGCAAGGTTGGTTTTACTTCATTACCTCCGCCAAGGAGGTTATGTTTTTGCCGGCGTTTGTCTGTTTGTTTGTTTGTTTGTTTGTTTGTTTGTCTGTTAGCAACATAACTCAAAAAGTTATGGACCGATTTTGATGAAATTTTCAGGATTTGTTGGAAATGTGAAAAGGAAGAACTGATTTCATTTTGGGGGTGATCCGGAAGAAATCCTGGATTCTGGATCACTTTGAAATTTTAGTTAACATTGTGGTAAATGGGGCCAAAAATTTTGTTTCTCAATATCTCGGTTAATTATTGACCAAACCCCATGAAATTTGACTCAGGGATGGACAATGGGATCCTCTTTCATATTCCAAATTGAAAGATACGAGACAAATATTTATGGAAAACACAATTAATATGAGGGGGACTGTAGTCCTTGGCGGAGGTCTGCGCTCTCTGAGTGCTTTTCTAGTTATTATTATTATTATTTACTACATTATTCTATCGACACAGACATTTACATGGACAGTCTGGTGTAATAATAGATTTGTTTTGAGTGTTTTGTGGAGTGGGTAAGACTGTTTTTAGTGGCAGGATAACTATGACCATTGACATGCACTAGTCTAGCACCAGTGACGTCTGCAAATACAAGGACTGGATGGAATATTTAAAAAAGTGTCTCCACACGTCTCCAACACTCTGCATCACTAGGAATTGAGGTCCATTGTCCAAAATTCTGGACTGTCCCTTCAGGATTCAAGATTTGCATTTTTTAAGATATTAAAACATTACGCAGATGAGGCTTTATATATTGTAGTATCTTTGCTACCCTTTAAAAATTTTGGGTCTGCCGCCTCCTTGTATCCATGGAGATGTTATTGCTTTGTCCAGAATGTCCCACACTATGTCATTTAAACAAAGTTACAAGCCAGATCTGTGGAGAGGCGAGCCCGCTCATAGTAAGAATGCATGTTGTATTTAATTTTTACAAGTAGGTGTCAGAGTCTCTATAAAAAAGTTACATAGTGCAGCATTAATGGGCTCGTATTGCGCTATTTTCTGATCTATTTTATAATGTTTCCTCATCACAAACAGACCAGGAGTTGTGGTTTTTTTGTTTTCACACATGTTTAACACACAAATTCTGCATATTTAGGCTGAGTTCTTCTCTCAAACAAACTCTGTTCCGCCTTGTGATGTCATGGGGTAATACAGGAAGACCTTCACATTTGCTTTCACTGCCCATCTTTACTGAACAAAACGTAGAAGGTAGCCGGTAACTTCAAAACTACCACTACATGACATCACAAGGTGGAACGGAGCATTTGGAGCTTTGAAGATGTAAACAGACTAATAATAAAGTGTGAATGAAACAAAACACAGCTCCAGGTATGTTTTTTGAAGAGGTAACAACATTCTAACACGGCTTAAACCTCACAAGAGTCAATTTTACATAATATTGAACCTTTAAAACTTGCCAAGAAATTAAAACAGCTCTATAATTTTCATTCATTTTTCAGCCATGGCAGCATTAGACCTGACATTAGACCTGACAGGACTAATCTAAAAACATGAAGATGAGCGGCAGCAGCAGCAGGAGCAGCAGCATGGCCGTACACTGTGACGCTGAATTAAACTCAGGGGAGATTTTACAGTGATGTGATTGTAACATAACTCAGGCCATTTAGCACATGCTCCAGTCTGCTGACCCTGTACTGTCTGGGCCATCTCATTATCAGAGACATTTCGGATATTAACCTTTTGTCTTTAATGCTAATGAAACATGTTGGAAGATTATATAAATGTAGCTACAAGATGAGAGAGGGACAATATTTCTGAACTATCAATATGAATAGAGGGATCTGTATGAGGAAAAAAGAAAGAATATGACTAGGAGTGTGCAACAATTATTGAAATATTGCTAAATCAAAGTATCGTTTAATGTGGTGATACAGTATTGATATCATGGGCTGCTGTATCGATATATCAAGAGTATTTTTTGGTGTATTTTACTAAATTATTTTGTTACAGCTACAGTTTTGTTGCTTGTTCAGAGGAAGGAAACTCATTTATGCAGCACATTTGACATTTTCGTTGTTTTGATTATTAAAACGGACGTGTTTCATATCAATTTTGCACAAGACGTGATGTAACAAAGACTTTCTACATGTATCGTATCGTGGCCTATCGTTTCGGCAACTTCTTAATGAAACCCAACCCTAGATATGACCAATTTTGGAAATATGTGAGCACTAAAGTTGAATAATTTTGACAGATGATATTTACAGAATTAAAATTAAATGTTTATTTTAGAAGTTTACAGCGTCAATTTGTGGGCTGTGTGGGTTAATTGGTATATCAGATTTTTAGCTACAACAGCAAGTCTAATATCTAGGGATGTAACCATAGACCGTATATATGAGTGAATGTATCTAACGCTGTAGCCGCTGTGTGCCAAATAGGAAGTTCATCAGGAGGCTCTTCTCTCTGTAACTGCTGCTGTGAGCCTCGTCATTTTGGTTTTAAAATGTTTGTATTAACCCGCTCTACGTGATCCTGAATATGTTTTTTTTTTTACTATTTTCTCCGTCGATAAAATCCTATTCATAACATCGAGTGTGGCTCCAAGATTCGCTCCTGTAACCGTGAGCATCGCGAGCCTCATTTGAGCGGCGCTGAACACTGTGGGTGACGTCACTGGCTTTATACAGTGTAGGGATGTAACAATATCCAAATCTCTCAGTACGATATTATCACGATATGCATCTCACGGTACGATATTTATTGTGCTATTTTAGAGAGGCTGATATAATTGTAGATAGACACTTTTTTGCTTTTAAAATACCTGACAAGATTTTGATGTGAATTATTTCCATCATAATCCCAAGAATTCAAGTCAAAAACATATTTCTTTATGTTGACTGCGCTGAAATGAATCATGGGATATGTAGTTCCCGATGTTTCTTAGTTATTGGTATTATAAAATCAATGCATTTAAGGAAAAAAACTTGTAAATCGATGTATTGTGACAGCCCACGATATTATAGAGAGACTTTTGACGATACGATATCACAATATTTCGGTTATTGTTACATCCCTTCTAATATCTGATATCTGAATCAATTTGGGACCTTTTCCAAATTTCCTAGACCACAATTGGAATGTGTTTGTATTTTCTTTAACATTATTTAGGTCTTCCCTGTACTGTAAATATTGAGTAGTTATTAACCCTTGTTTTTCATCTGTTTTCTCTGTTCCAGTGGTCATCCATGGCATTTGGTTTTATGATAAAGAGGACTGCCAGCGCATCGCTCAGAGAATGAAGTTGTAAGTATCGTGTGTGCCCAGCCGTTCATGGAAAGTCCACAAAAAAAAAAAAATTATGCCCCCTGAGGGTCTTTGATAACCATTCACATTCTATTTGTATTAAGTATTTTATTCTTACAAATGAGTATAAATAAAACTAAAGGCATGAAACATCAGAGCCATGTGCTGTATTAATGTGAATGTGTAAAATAAAAAAAATAAAAAAATCTGTTAACTGGACTAAAGTTTAGCTGTTTGTGGCCACTGAATTAATTTTATTTTTATTTTTTTAGTTTTATTTTACACATTCACATTAATACATCACATGGCTCTGAATGTTTCATGCTTTTAGTTTTATTTATATTCACTTGCAAGAATAAAATACTTAACCATTCACATTCTATTTGTATTATCAAAGATCCTCAGGAGGCTTAAAATGTGGTACCCTTCATATAAAATGCAAAAGTGTAGTGGAGCGAACAGAAAGGCAGGAACAAAGGTGTAAAAAAAAAAAAAAAAAAAGTTTATATTGAATTAAGTCAAAAAGGTAATTTAAAAAAAGAAAAAAGGCTCAAATAATATTTAACTTAACCAAATGAAACAGAAGAGATGTATCCACCACAATAAGGCTCTAATAAAACAGTGTAAAATTCATATTTGTAGTCTATGAGATGCAATACAAGCACAGAAACACACATTTACAACAACAGGTTCTATAAAACAGTGTTGATAACATTACATGACTTTATTATGTCTTTCTGTCTTTAATGATGTGAAAATGTGCTTCCTGTGACAGTCTGACGCACCAGGAGCAGGTCCAGGCTCAGTCTCAGGGGGGGTGGCTGTCTCCTGCAGGAAGTGAAGGGAAACCTGTAGACATTATCCAGATGTTATCCAAAGCACGCAACGAGTACGACAAGGTGAGGCTCCACTCGGCATCTGCTCCACCGGCCCATCGAGTCCAAAGCACCGGAGCGTCTGCAGTGAATACAAACCCTACAGCTGTAATGTCTGTGTCATAAAGTTTCACTGTTTTCATTTTATTTTCCTCAGGAGAAGTCGTCATCTGAGCCAAAGGAGATAGGGGGCAGTAGTGTGCTTTATGGAAACCCAAACCTGATCAAGCCAATTCCTGTTAAACCAAACACTCAGGTACAACAAGCACTCTTTACAATAATATACAGTAAAAAATGAAATGTCTGAGTGTTGTCGTGATACTGAATTTTCTATTTTGATACTAAAAAATAGACTCTACACAAGTGATAATTTCAAAAGCTCTTTCTTTTAAGACGATTTGTTATAGTTTTTATTAGTGATGCGAGAAAATGTCACGAGATTCAGCTCACGAGAACGAGACAAGACAAGATTTTGATAAAATTTTAATAGATAATTGTGTCGTTCAGTTCACAATTTTGGCTTCACAATTTTTTTCTGTATTAATTTTACATTTTTGGTGTCACTGTAGCACTGCTTTTTGGCATTACAGCTTCTCAAGAGGAGTTACTCAACGCTGTTAACCTTTTTTATCTAAGCCAAAGTGTAAAAATATGAAATAGGAAAGGGAAAAAAAGGAAAAAAAATCTCATATGTGCACAGTCTTGAGGCAATTCTGTCTAACGAGGTCTTGTGTCACGAGATCTTGTCCTATCCCTAGTATTTCTTTAAAATACAATGCGATCTTACACTAGTTCTGATAAAACTCAAGATGAAACTGATCAGGAAAGGTCAAATTTTATCCAGTTATATGATTTTTTTTTAAATCAGTTAGTATCTGATTATCACTACTTTTGACAACACTAAAGTACATACAGTATTTCAATCATTTAGTGTGTTGAAAAAGACACTGGCTTTGTTCACATGCATCAGAATCTGATTATGAGCTGATTTCTGGGCTAAGATTCAACTTCAAATGACATGCAAACCACAAAATCTTTCAATGGCATTTTAATAGACTGGATAGATACAAATCTGACAATCCATTTTTGATGTAACCGCAGCCACTGATTCAGCGCGCACAAAAAAAAAGAAATATTCATAAATAATTTGATTGCAGTGCTCCTCTAGAGGTTGAGCACTCAAAAATAGTCTTAAAGCTGGATGTTTTTCTGAAAATACTTGCAGCAAACATGCATAGAGTGTGGACTAGTGGTCACACGCTGTTTGTACAGGATCTACATTACCTGTCAAAAGTTTTAGAACACCACACTTTTTCTAGTTTTTTACTGTTTACTGTTGATCAGTACGTATTCTAACGCATTTTGATTCATCAAAGTGTCCACCTTTGGCAGATGTAACAGCTGAACACACTCGTGGCTCGTTCTTTTTACAATAGAAATCAAATATTCTTCAGAAAGTTCTTCTCAAGTCTGTTGCAGAAGTTCACTGTAGGTTGCTTCACTCTTCTGTCCAGTTCATCCCAAACCAGCTCGATGGGGTTTAAGTCTGGACACTGTGCTGGACACTCCATGTTTTCAAGTTTACCATCTTGTTCTTTTTTTCCTGAGATAGTTTGGCAGAGCTTGGACTTGTGTTTTTATCTTTTATCTTTTTTTTTTTTTTTTACCTCTGGCTGTTCAGTTCTTACCTTTGTACTATTTCTTGCTCTTCGTTGGACTTGCACGACTTGAATTGTAATAAATAACTGGAAAAAATTGGTTTGTTCTAAAACTTTTGACCTGTAGTGTATTTCATTTAGAGTCATTTTCTTTATTGTTTATCAATCTATTATTTGAGTCCTTTTTGTTATTTTGTTACTTGTAAACTAACAATTTTACTCTTCTGTTTTATTTAAATTAAATTATTAAAGTGTAAGATTTCAATAAATATCTTGACACAGCTTAGTATGTAGAGCAGAGATCTCCAACCTTTTGCATCCAGTGAGCTACTTTACAAAATGAAAACGCTGGAGAGCTACTCATTTTAGCGTCATAAGAAATTGAGTCGATATAAAAGTGCAAGCCTTATTGTTGTACAGTTACACGCCTATAAAACCTTAACCCATTATCCATTTATCGGAGCACAAAGTTCAAAATAACACATTTACTCAGTACAATTAGAGTGACCAGACTTTCCCCATTTACCCGGGACAGTTCCAGTTTTGACTCCTGTGTCCCCTGTCCCAGCAGATTTATCCAAACCAGTGATTTGTCCAAGTTTTATACAAAAAATGCCCCAAGTGTCCCTATTTTTTACCAATTTGACACCTGCCAACAGTAAAGGCAAGGCAAGTTTATTTGTACAGCACAATTCGTACACAAAGTAATTCAAAGTGCTTTACAGAATAAGAATTACATTAAAATCGCAATAAAAACTAATTAAAACATAAAAATCATCAAAAATTTAAGATTAAAATTAAAAAAGAGAGAGAGAGACATTAATTACATAAATTAGAGAGAAGAGAGGCAAAAAAGAGGCAGTAAAGAGAGGCAAAAAAACTGTTAGTTGTTTTGGTAAAATACAGAAAAGCTGCTTAAAAATGACCAAAACACAAAGAAAATGTGAATATACTGACTCATGTTAGGCAATTACCAATCACCAAAAAAACGGCAATGTCTCAGTTTTTTATTTTGAAAATCTGGTCACCCTACGTACAATATATATAATTCAGAAATCCCTTGGCGAGCTACATGTAAGGGGATGGAGAGCTACAGGTTGGAGACCCTTGATGTAGAGCATTGGAAATAACAATGTTGCTTATACCAAATGAACTTTTTAATCTGTTCTTATAGTTTTATATACCGTATTTTCCAGGCTATTAAGCGCTCTGGATTATAAGATGCATTGTCATTAAATGGTCTATTTTCAAACTTTTTTCACAAATAAACCGCACCGGACTTTAAACGAAACCCAACAGTTGGATGGGTGAGTGGTTTTGTTTGTTTGTGGCGTTCACGGTGACTCTGGGCTTTGTTCAGTTGTGGCGTGTAGGGAGGTGCTGTCTGGGATCGCTGGATTGTCGGCGTGTTCGCAGTGACTCAGTTGTTCAGTTGCGTCTAGAAGTGGCACATTGCACTCGCTTTTTCGGTTCGTTCCTCCGTTCCGTTCCTCGTCGGTTGGAGTGATGAGTGTGTCTGCGAGTGTTTTTCGCCGCGTGGTCCCTGTCTGCTCCGTGTGTGTTTGCGTGCGCTGTGGGTGGTGCAGCTTTGTAGTTTACTGAAGTGGTGCTGGGACACCTGACTGGATTCGCGTATAGGGCGCTCTGGATTGTGGGGCGCAGTCGTTTTTTGATGGGGTTAGAGGCTTAAGAGTGCGTCTAATAGCCCGGAAAATATGGTACTTGTAAGGGGGTGGAGAGCTACAGGTTGGAGACACTTAATGTAGAGCATTGGAAATAATAATGTTGCTTATATCAAATGGACTTTTTAAAAATCTATGTTTATAGTTTTATATAAAAGTAATATATTTTCATTCTGTATTTTTCTCTTATTGTAGGAAAATGAGGGCAGTCTTTCTCTGGCTACTCTTTTCGGGACTCAACTCAAACTCGTCCCGTCTCAGCCTAACCCTGCCCCCTCCTCTTCGTCATCATCATCCACCAACTTCGGCATGACGTCATCCACGAGCAAAAACACTCGCCCTCACGTGGTCCGCACCCTCACCTACGAAAACACGACGCGCCCGGGGCAAACTAAAAACTCCGGCGAGATTCAAAACGTGAAACCAGATGGAGGACTACAGCAGCCAGACCAGTCCCAGCACTGTCCAGCTATTCAGAAGTTAATGCAGGGGCAGAGGGCGACGCTACAGACTGTGTCAGAGTCTCCAGAAAACAGGCTGTGTGACAACGGGCACCAGTTTGAGCATCACCACGTTTTTCACCAAACACAGCCACACATCCATCACCATCATCACGTGCACCAGCCGCAGCACGTTCAGCCTCAAGTTCAGCCGCAAATGCAGTCTGACCCCATCAAGAGACTGTTCCAGGGCCAGCCTCCGGTGGCAGTAGCTCCTCAGTGTTTTCCGGTGCACCAGAATCTGCCCGTACCGCAGTCTGTGCCCGTACCGCAGTCTGTGCCCGTACCCCAGTCTGTGCCCGTACCCCATTCTGTGCCCATACAATCGGTGCCTGTACAATCGCTGCCCGTACAGTCTGTGTCCTTGTGCCCTCAGCATCAAAACCAACCCTTGATCTTCCACCCCGCTCAAGGGGAAGGTCAACACAACTGTCACGTAGCTGCGCAGTTAACAGGTGAGACTTTAAAATGTAGTGTGTAACTTTCCTGGCTGTCCACAGATCTTTGACGTGTAAACTGGTGTTTGATTGTAATGATTGATTGTGTTATAGTAGCCAGTAACCACCTAGTGCCTCCGCTCAGTTTCATTTCTCTCCAGTGACTAGGTCAGGAATCAGAATACACTAGACAGTTTCCAAGAGCCCTGGAAGTTGTATACTGTGCACCGGCCAATCAGTGAATGGCTGTGAAACCATGACGTCAAACTCAAGCGCCTGTCGGTGTCCATTTTGTGGTACAGCACAACAGTAAACAAAGCGTCGAGATGGATGTAGACGAAGACAGACATTCTGTGTTGGCAACGATTCCTGAGATTGAGGTTTTAAAGTCAGAACAAAGAGAATGTTTGGTGAATTTTATCAAAGGAAAAGACGTTATTGCCCTTCTTCCTGCGGAATTTGGCGCATTACTTATGTCATGATCAAATAGCAGTGATTGGTTAATTAAAAAAAGTACCCGCCTACCGTCAAGGGAACGAATCCTAATGCTGCGAGGTCAGATCAATCAGGTTGATCAATCAGGTTAGTCTTATAGGCCCTGTACCCATTTTTTCCATGCATTTGATGTTAAGAAGACATTATCTTTCCCTCTTGAGGTCAAAATAAGTCAGCTGTGTAGGGTCTGCATCAACATTATAGCACTTTATTGACTACTAATCATGAAGTGCACTGTCAGCATGCTACTTGTTGTTGTGTGTCTCTGAAAGCTGTGGAAAGCACTTAAAAACTCATCGTGGTGAATAATTAGGATGCTCTAAATGCATAAGGTAAGTGAGGAATAACTTTGGCCCTCTGCAAATTTTTTTTTTTTTTATTGACTAGTTGTTTTTCACGTTTTTAAAGGTGCATTGTGTAACTTTTCTGATGGAGGGTCTGTCAGATTCTTTTCTCCGTGGAGATGTTGGTGCTTTGTCTGTGTTTTTCTGGGTATTTTTGAGCTATAAAACCAAATATTGTCTAATCAATGTAAGGTAGATCTGTTTAGTGTCATACTGTGGAACATTCCAGAGCAATGACATATCCATAGAAACAAGCAGGTGACAGACCCCCAACCAAAAAAGTTACATAGTGCACCTTTAACAGTAAAAATCAAGCTTTTAAAATGGAGCAGTCTAACATCGCCATGGAGACAAGCAGATGGCAGACATTTTCCTCCGTCTATAATATTCATGCCTCTGGACTTGCTCAGTTGTTTTGTAAAAGAAACGTTAATTAAACTGTGAAATATTTTGATACTTATCTTAAAATCTCTTGTTTTATTTCAGGTTTCTCTGCCCAGATGCCCGGTGTGGTCTCTCCTCACGAGCTCCTCCAGAAGCTGCAGATCGTCCAGCAGGAGCAGAGTCGCGCCTCCTCCGACCCTCCCCCCGGACCTGCCCTCGCCCCCAGGTTTATGGGCCCCTCTCACACGGACCCCCGAAATCCAGGTCTGAACCAGGTCTCAAACCAGACTACAGCCACTGTGGGACAAAAGGCAGCTCTGCAATTTCAGGTAAATACCGAATAAGTAATTTGTTTTCGTAAGACAGTTTTAGCCGTCGACAAAGGAGAGATTCTTTTTTTTCCAATTTGTCATTCATAAATCTATTTAGATTTTGATATAAAATGTTCGCTGCAAACTCAGGATGTTTTAGGCAGCCAAAGGTTTTCTTTTTCGTCCTTCCTGTGGATCAATCCTGCCCATCGCCTTCACCTTTCACTATTTTTCAATTCTGTTGGGAAGGGAAACATTTTCAACAGAGGTTTACAGTCACACACATCTGATTCCCTTTTGCATTTATGGAGTTCGCAAACAAATTTCTCGAGCCGTTTTCTGCTGTTAGGATCCAACAACCACACAATTACGATAAAACTAAAATATGACAATATCAGAACCAGAAACAAAAGTGATGTGGTTCAAAAAACTTGAAAAAATTGACTTTGGCAATAGACCACTGGCAAATCAAACGTGGCGGTTTGATGCTCACTTTTTCGGAAAATCCTTCCCAGTATGCAGTGCGCAATGACCGGAAGTCCGAGATTCTTGATTTGTATATGAAAATACAATAGTCTGATTTGTGTATTTTAATTTCTTGGACTGAGATTTACATTCGTCCCTCGCTATATCACGGTTCACCTTTCATGGTCTCGCTATTTCGCAGATTTTTTTAGGGCAGTTTTTTTCGTGAGTCCGGGTTTAGCTTATCTTGGGTTGACGGGCGGGTGTGGTGCTGTACGAAAAAAAATTATCTTTGGTTTGTTACATAAAGAAGGAGGAAAATAACATCAGGACGACAGCAGCTATAAGTTTTAAGAAGGATGCAAAAAGTGTTGTAAATGTTCCGTCTGAGAAAAGTGTGTGTGTTGAGGGGTTTTACAGCCTTAAAACAGATACAATAATTATAAAATATAAAGCTGACTACTTATTTTTAGAACGTAACCCCCGTGATAAACAAAGGACCACTGTACACAGTAGTCTTTCTATTGACCGAGATTTACACAAAGAACTTTTTTTAGCCACGACTCCATTGCGTCACTAATATGATTTTGCATTACCTTTTGTCCAGGTCATCTCTCCTCAGCGTATCCCAGCGACTGTTGCCCCGACGATGCTCCTGTCTCCGAGCGTCTTCAGTCAGACCAAACCCGGTCCAGCCCCTCCTCAGGCCCCGAGACCTGGTCCAAACCCGGTCCAGATCCTGTCCAGGAGCCAGCTCCAGGCCACGCTCCTGCATCTCATACAGGTGAAAGTCTAAACACATTTATCTGTCAGGTATAACATTATAGCTCATTATAGGTCAGAGGAGAGTTACAGTTTACAATTATCAGTGTCATTTTGGAGACTTTTGACCATTCAAAAGATGGAATAATTTGTTTTGGTAAAGCTCACTGTATTTGTTCTTTCTGCTGCTGTACCAGACATAGGACAAATTTGGCCCGTGATATAATTATTTTTGGCCTGCGAGATCATATCAAATACATATTAGAGCTGCCCACCGGCTACCGATAAGCTATAGAGACATTATTTTTTTTAAATTGTGTTATTATTTTATATTATGTTTGTTTTTGGACTCAATGTTTAAGTAAAACATGAAACATTTATTTTAATAAGAAAAGGTTTAATATTACATATCTCGAAAGAAGAGCAAACATGCAGATGTTGTTGAAATTTTTCAATCAATATTTAGTTTGGCCCACAACTTAGTCACAGTTTTTAATTTTGGCCTCTGTGAATTTGAGTTTGACACCCCTGCTCTGAACTATTTCAATGTTTTGTTTTGGTTTTTTTGCGTTAAAACTAAAAATACGGACGGATCTCATGGTGGGCAGTACAGATACCATTTTAAAGACGTTACAAAACTCCAAAAATAACACCGTATTTTCCGGGCTATTGGTCGTGCTCTTAAGCCTCCAACCCCATCAAAAAACAACTGCGCGCCCCACAATCCAGAGCGCCCTATACACGACTCCACTCGGGTGTCCCAGCACGACTTCAGACTATAAAGCCGCACCACCCGCAGCGCACGCAAACACACACGGAGCAGACAGCGACCGCACAGCGAAACACACCCGCAGACACTCATCACTCCACGCCGACGAGGAACGGAACAGAGGAACGAACCGAAAAAGCGAGTGCAATGTGCCGCTTCTCGACACAACTGAACAACTGAGTCACTGCGAACACGCCGACAATCCAGCGGTCCCAGACAGCACCTCCCTACACGCCACAACTGAACAAAGCCCAGAGTCACCGTGAACGCCACAAACAAACAAAACCACTCACCCATCCAACTGTTGTGTTTCCTTTAAAGTCCGGTGCGGTTTATTTGTGAAAAAAGTTTGAAAATAGACCATTTAATGACAGTGCGCCTTATAGTCCAGAGCGCCTATAGTGCAGAAAATACGGTAAATAACTCTGCATGTCTAATGTGTTTGTAACTGTAAAAGCCTTTTTTCTTTATTTGTATCTGGGGGGCCGCAGTTAGATCTTGCGTACAGTTGCTCTCTTTAACAAACACTGATTGAAAACAGCGGGTTGTATTTACGCATAATGTGTGTTTTGCGTTTTCCAGAACGACAGCTCTTTCCTGGACTCCATCTATGAAGCCTACACCAGCAGATTCTCCACCGACTCCTGCTGCAGATACTGATGATCCTGATGATACTGACGACTGCGCTGGTCCCTCCGCACAGGGTCACACCGGTCTGCGCTCACCACTGCTCTGTCTACAGACTGTTATACACCACCTATAGCCACGAAACGTAAAGCTGCACTGTGTAACTTTTCTGGCCGAGGGTCCGTCAAATGCTTTTCTCCTTCTTCTGGAGATGTTATTGCTTTGTCTGGAATGTTTCACAGTATGGCATTAAACCTTTCTATCTTCACGGAGACCAAACCAGACGAAGTTACAGGTCAGATCTGTGGAAAACCAACCCCACTCCTAATCAGAATGCCTGTTTTTTGAGGTATTTTTGAGCTATAAAACCCACCTGTAATTGAATAAATGTAAAACAGAGCTGTTTAATGTGACACCGTGGAACATGGAACAATGACGTATCCATAGAAACAAGCAGGAGACGGACCCTCCACCAGAAAAGTTACACAATGCGCCTTTAAGATACATAAATGCAATATTATACATGGTTTTACTGCAATATCAAAACTTAACTTTATTATTATTGGTTTATTTACAGTGAATTACTTAACTTTTATTCCAGTTATATCCATACCAGCAGAAATATTTCCTTTTTTCTTTTTTTCTTTTTTAACAAATCTTGCTTTTACCTTGCTTAAATAATACAACTTTAACATAAACAATTTTACTTGGGTGTAATTTTATTTTCAATATTGTATTTTATTTTTTTCCCCTCAACAGCTCTTACAGTGTCAATGCACAAATCCTCTTAGTCCTGCAGCTAGTTTCAAAGTTAATTGTAAAGTAATTTTTTTTATTTTATTTGTACAGACATTGTATTTTATTATTTGTTAATTTCTTTAATTGTTATTTTAGCAATATATTTGACAATTTATGTTTGGCCAAGTTTAGAAACAACATAACCACTTACAGTATTATTCTTAATCTCTAAATAATACTTTAAAAACATTACAAAAATGAGAGTAAAGAGGCGGTATAATGCAAAAACAATCATTTTTGGAGCTTTTTACTATGTTATAATGCTCTTCTCTCATCGAAAACATGCCAGAAGAGGTTTTAGATGTCATCTGTGCATGTTTGAGTAATTTAGCGATCTCCCCCATTATTCAGATCCTCCTTACAATTTTCACAAAGCAGTTCTCCACAGATAAACAAAAACTTGATAGAAAACTGTACACTACAACTTCACAAACCTGAGGCGATGTGCAGTAGTTTCATTAGCGGGACGCACGCTGATTGTGTTGTGACAGCGCTCTGAAAGGGGGGTGACTTAGCACGGAGAGCAAAGAAAGGGGAGACTCAGAGCATCAAAATCCAAACTGATAAAATATGTTGATAAGTTGTTTTCGGCGAATATTGCATTTTCAAAACAATAAAATGTAACATGGTGATCTAATTGTTATGTTTTAGCAATAAATACCCCACAGACGTAAAAAAAACACTCCGTCTTTAAACATAAAAATTACAAAAATGTTCAAAATGAAGAAACTTGTAGCAATTATTTTGACATGTACAGGACATTTTGGGAATATATGTGTAACGGCACTACCTCAATGAGAGTTATTTATTGGAATTTGTTTTTTTGGGACTTTGTATTTTGGCTAATTTACTGTTTAAAAATGTCTTAATTCTCAGATACATTTTATGATACAAGTCTATAAATCTTCGAGCAATGACGAAACAAGTTGCACTACTGTAATAAACACACACACAGGGATTCAAACAATATATTGCCTGTACAAATGTCTGTATAATTTGTATTTTATGTTCAAAATAACCTTTACAGAGAAACTATATCTGAATAGAGGAAAAGCTATTTTGTGTACTATTTTTGTATTCAAAATATTCAAAACTTAAACTCAGTAATGCAAAGTACCAGCAGCTTATAAAAAAGTAGCAGTGCAATAAATAAAAATAAAAAGGAAAAGCAAGATTTAATTGGTTTATTTGACACAACTGATGTTTTTTCATTTCAAATATCTGATAACTATTGTTCAATGTGATGGAAATTTTACAGTACAGCAGTGCATTTGGAAACAATTTAAATAAAATACTTTTAACCTTTCTTGTTTTTCTTTTGTGATCCACATTTACAAAAATATTAATTTGTCATCTGCTAGTTGGAAGGGAAAAATCCAGTATCCAGTTTAATCCACTGTATTTCTGTATAAACAAAGACTTTCCAAAGTGCTGTGCATAGAGAAAGTTTTTTGTTTTTTTTTAATCTACAATTTAATAACACAAACATAGTAAAAACAACAGATTAAAAAAATAAATTAAACTGAAATAGACCCATATAATAGTAAGATATCGGTGCAAAAGCTGAATAACAATGATGGACACTGAATTAATCCAAATCTCTTATAATAGGCCTAATGCTTTTATTTTAGCCTTTTATATATTGAAATTATCACCAGTGGCTCTCAAAATTTTCACACCAAGTATCAGCAAGAGTGAGTATGAGTACCAGATCTAAACCAGGTCTATAACAAGACTATTCCAGGTCTTATCTAAGGCTGAACTAGGTCTAAAAGTGGACTATCGTCTTTTATATTTTGAAATTTTCACCATTATTGTTACCGTCTCTAAGTGAAATAACCTAGAACAGTGTCTCTCAAAATTTGCACACCAATTATGACCAAAGAAAGGATTTGGCTTTCCGAGTACCCGATCTAAAAAGTGCCTAAAGGCCTAAAAGTGGACAACATTGTAAAAACAACATATTAAAAACAAATAAATAAAACTGAAATAGACCCATATAATAGTAAGATATCGGTGCAAAAGCTGAATACAGTTGGATGGACATTGATGAAGTCAGCCTAGAAATAATAAAAAAGTCTTATAATAGGCCTAATGCTTTTATTTTAGCCAGTATATACTGTAAAATAACCTATAACAGTGGCTTTCAAAATTTTCACTATCAGTAAGATCTAAACCAGGTCTATAACAAGACTATTCCAGGCTAATCTAAGGCTGAACCCGGTCTAAAACTGGACTATAGTCTTTTATATTTTGAAATTTTCCCCATTATTGTTAACACCTCTAAGTGAAATAACCTAGAACAGTGGCTCTCAAAATGTTTCACACCAAAGTCAGGATTTGGCTTTCCGAGTACCAGATCTAAACCAGGTTTATAACAAGACTATTCAAGGTCTAATCTAAGGCTGAACCAGGTCTAAAAGTGGACTACATCATTTCTTTTGCAGTTCTAAACAAGAAATTACCCAATAGTGGACAAAAAGTGGATAAAATTCACTCTAAATCAGGTGAGCCCTCAAACTGAAGAGCTGTCCAAGTCTCAGGACCACAGTTTGAGAAACACTTGACCTAGAACATATACACTGATTTCTTGCGCTAAGATTATTTTAAGAAATAAAAATATAAGCATAAAAAAACTAAAAATATCTGATAAAATGTGGTATATAGTCTCTACATATACACCTTGTTAATTGTTAAATTGGCAGAAGCAAGTGGCGACAACATGCTCCCAACCAAACCTTCCTTTTTCCACAATCCACAGGTAAGAAACACACTTATATTTTTTTCTGATATCATGTAAACTTCTATTTTTTTAGGCTATGACATGAATATGTAGTTTTAATTGTTTATTTCAAAATGAATTAATTAATGTTTACAATAGACGTGCGTAAAACTCTTCCGGTATCTTACGTAACGCTAACGTTAGCTTCACTAGCATAACCCCATGGATCTAAAAAAATAAAATAAAATAAATACAAGAATAAATAAATAAATAAATAAACAAACTCCATGGATCTATTAAAATAACCCGAACTCGTAAACTGTCACCTGTCGCTAGAATAATGTTGCTAAAAAATTATTAGTAAAATGTTGGTATTAATGCTATTTTTATTAAAGTTTCGTCTCTCACTTTTAATTTCTCTTATATCACGTAAACTTCTATTTTTTTTAGTCTATGGCATGAATACATAGTTTTAATTGTTTATTTCGAAATTAATGTTAATGTTTAGAATAGACGTGCGTAAAACTCTTCCGGTAGTTTACGTAACGCAAACGTTAGCATCATTAGCATAACCCGAACTCGTAATAAACTGTCACTTGTTGCTTGAATAATGTTGCGTAAAATTAAACATCAGTGTTGGGAAGGTGACTTTTAAAATATATTCCTCTACAGATTACATACCCCAAAATGTAGTCTGTAACGTAATCCATTAAATTACTTAAAGTGAGTAATGTAATCTGAATACTTTGGATTACTTGATTTGCTGTAGAGAAGCAAAGACGAGGAAATCATAACATGAGAAGTTTTGTCTGATAAAAGAAAATAAAAAAGCCCAGACTTTACTTCACCAGATTAAAAATATCATTGATAGAAGACGAGGAGACACGTCCGCGCAGCATGATTTAGTCCTGTTAAATCCTGGTTTAGACCTGGTTTTAGTCCTGGTTTTAGACCTGGTTTTAGTCCTGGTTTATCCTGGTTTAGTCCTGGTTTAGTTTTGGTTTAGACCTGGTTTTGTCCTGGTTTAGTCCTGGTTTAGATCTGGTTTAGCCCTGGTTTAGTCCTGGGTTTAGTCCTGGTTTAGTCATGGTTTAAACCTAGTTTAGACCTGGTTTTAGACCTGGTTTAGTCCTGGTTTAGACCTAGTTTGGACCTGGGTTTAGTCCTGGTTTAGTCATGGTTTAAACCTAGTTTAGACCTGGTTTAGACCTGGTTTTAGTCCAGCATTAGTCCTGGTTTTAGTCCTGGTTTATTTCTGGTTTAGACCTAGTTTAGACCTGGTTTAGTGTCCGGCAATGAGTGGAATCACAAAAAAAGGGGAATAGCCCAAAATGTGAAAACAGGAAAATACCGCCATGTAATCCATTTATTTCAACCAAGTAACTGTAACTGTCATTGAAACAGTAACTGTAACTGAATATAGTTACTCATAATTTATACTCTGATTACGTAACTCCGATACATGTAATCTGTTACTCCCCAACACTGTTAAACATATATTAGTAAAATGTTGGTATTATTGCTATTTTATTAAAGTTTTGTCTCCCACTTTTATCCAGTACGGTCACGTGTACTTTGCAGCTACGACACCAGAGAAATTGGATTATTTTTGAGTAATTATTATCGCCTGTTTTCCATCTTTTGTCCATTTCACGTGGGGAATTTGTTTTGCCTCCTCCTTTCCTTCCTGCTTCCTCTTTGCTAATAACCTTATTACAATTGTTAGTATTTAGCAAGGAATAAGCTCCAGACTTTGTAACTCAAGGTACGGAAGTGCAAAAAAAAAAAAGTGCAATACTTAAAGGTGCATTGTGTAACTTTTCTGCTGGAGGGTCTGTCAAATGATTTTCTCCATGGAGATGTTGTTGCTTATTCTGGAATGTTTCACAGTATGGTGTTAAACCTTTCTATCTTCATGGAGACCAAACCAGACCAAGTTACAGGTCAGATCTGTGGAGAGTAGGGTGAAACTAGGATTAAACCACGACTAAAACAGGACTGAACAGGTCTAAACCAGCTCTAAACCTAAATTGAACCAGCACTAAACCAGGACTAAACCGTTTTCAGTCCTGATCTGGTCCCAGTCTCAGTCCTGGTCTCAGTTCTGGTGTGGTCCTGGTCTCAGTCCCGGCCTGGTCCCGGTCTCAATCGCAGTCTGATCCCGGTCTGGTCCCGGTCTGGTCCTGGTCTCAATCACTGTCTGGTCCCGGTCTCGATCTAAGTTCTGGTCTGCTCCCGGTCTAAGTCCTGGTCTCAGTCCTAATCTGGTTCCAGTCTCAGTCTCTCAGTCTCATGGTCCTGGTCTCAAGTCCCTGTCTCAGTCCCAGTCTCAATCACAGTCTGGTACTGGTCTGGTCGCGGTCTCAGTTCCGGTCTCAGTTCCGGTCTCAGTCCTGGTCTCGGTCCCGGTCTCAGTCCTGGTCCTGGTCCCGGTCTCAGTCCTGGTCTCAGCCCCGGTCTGGTCCCGGTCTGGTTCTGATCTGGTGCCGGACCTGGTTTAGTCCAGTTTAAGTCATGTAAACGGGAAACGGTCATTATCCCTTTTTTTCCATTTTTCATTTAAACACAAAATCAAAAACTGAAAAAAACCTGAATCATTAATGGTTTATTTTTATTTATTTATTTTTTTCATTTTGGTTTTGGAGAGAAATAGTGAAGAAAACAGTTGTTTGTTTGTTTCTTTTCTTATTTTTGGTTTTTTTAAAAAAACTAATTAACCAGTGATACATGGATTCTGGTAGTGTTTTGTGTAACAGAAGTTTATTATGTACAGATCAATACAAAGGACCTTTTATAATGTTATACTGAAAATATCTGTAAATATCTGATTCTAAAACGTAACATACATTTTCCAGGCTGTGTCGTTGGTTGAAACATGTACGTGCACCTCCTGTAATTGTCTATAATAGAGAATACTGTAGCCTGTGCATTTGCAGTCCACTGGTTTAGCTGATCGGGCCAAACTAAAGGCTGACGACTGGGCCTGACCTGCGCCAATCAATGCTTTCTAATGGTGTGTGTGTCTGCGAGGGGAGGAGCCTGCTGCTAAACACCAGGAATTTCAGATTTAGTGAACGAAGCAGGAGCTGGACAAGTGATTTTTGTGGTTAGCGTTAGAATTGAACAGACTCAATGTGATGGGATAGTATTTTTTAAAGTTAAAATTTGCTTTCAGTTTCAAAGTTTTTTTTTTAACTTCTGTTTCTACAGCACCTCCCTGCAGAGTTCACTGGAGAAAAAGAAAAGTAAGAAGAAATGCTCAAGCTGAAGAGAAAGACTTAAAGAAAAACACGTAAGTAACTTTTTAAATTTTATATATTTATGTCATTTTATTAATTTAATCAGAGTTTTAAGTAAGTTACAGTAGTAAGACTTTAAATATCCTTTCCCATTTTCTCTCTACTCTTTTTTTAAATCTTAAAGTTGTTGTTTATTTCACTTTTGGACACATTGGATTCTAAGGTTTTCAGTCATTACTCATCACAACATCAGTTTGTTTTTTTTTGTTTTTTTTTACAGACCTCAAACATAGGAAATGCACATAAAAGTAA